ACCACTGTTTACTACAAACATACAAACATGTGATGCGCCAAATATTTCATAATTGCATTTTGTACAAAAATTGATTTGTCATAATTTCGCCTAAAATTTTCAATAAACGCTGCACAAATTGGTTGCTAAAAAGTGCAAGAGTACAATTTACAAACCACGAGTTTTTTTTGCTTAAATCTTTTATATTGGAAAATTATTGAGAAAATATCTAAAATTTGGTTCAATAAAGTATGAGTAACCATACCATTATTTAGCCAAAACTAAAGTACACAACTGGCTAATCTACACTGTTACGTCGACAGCTAATTTAAAATATTTTATTATTTTAAAAAATAATTAACGATTAAGTCAAGGTAAATTAAATACGTAGTCAATTTAAATTCATATAGAGAGCATACAATTTAATTTTCGCACTGTAAGTTTTTGTTCAATCTTTTTCATCTTACATTTACATTTAACGACACAATCACTTAGTACAGCGTAAATATTTCAAATATATATATTTTGTTCAATTATGCCAATAACTTGCTAAAACAAATAGCTTTCACCTTGCGGCGTATTGTTTATACAAGTATAGAGTTATTTCCAATATCATCAACAATGCTAATAAATGTAGTATATGTTAGCAAACATTTGGAATAAGAAAACTGTATTTTATTTTTAATTACTCAGAACAACAAATACAATTTTTTGGTGTTCTAATAAATTTAAATTAGTAATTTACATATAGACGATTTTTTTAAATTTTCAGAAATTGTTGTCATTCCTGCATATGAATGATGGCCAGGCAAATTGTCTACGTGGTAAGCAACTAGCTGCCGAACACACACTAATAAACTACATAAGGAGATCAAAAAGGACTCCCCGCCATTTTATAAGTTTAATGTACATCTCTCATAAGCTACTAAAGCACACAACAACCAAATTTGCTAAGAAAATACAACTAGACAACAACTATAACAACCAAATATTATAAGAACTCCTACGGACAGTGTGAAAATAGATGAAATCAGACTAAAAGCGCAATAAATCAATAACAAAATACGCCAAAGACATTAAATTAACGATGGCCGTGGCACTTTTCATGAAGTCACATTCCTCGGGACCTTACCGACCGATTTCTACTAAATTTGATACGTGACATTATTCTCACATTCTTATAAACTTCCAGGATATTTCAATGAAAATTACAGAACGTGTTTTACTCATAAAAGTATACATTTGTACTTAAAATAGATACAATAGAAAAAAAAACTGGACATAACCCACATATTATATAGTAAATATTATAAAGATTGTATGGGAGGTACTTACATAATTGGAACCCAGGGAATATTTTTTTAGTATGTGATCATAGTTTATAGATAAAAGCGGGTCAATACCACTCCAACTCCCATATACTACGTATAATGATTTTCGTTTTTCTGACAAATCTAATGCGGAATTTTTCGGCCGGTGAATGAGTTATAGTATATTTAAATTGTTTGCAACATAGCCCGTTTTACTTGTCATTATTCTTTTACAAGTATATTATTATATAAACTATTTATTTATTATAAAAGATTTTGTAATTTATCATCCACATGTGCTTCATAATTATTTTTACCCTGCATGAAATATTTAGAGTGAGAAATGATAGGGGTCGCATTTATAATCAATCTCACGTCAATCGTGAGAACACTTGACAACAGTGTTTGGGCAATCTTTAGAAGATTCTGCGTCGTCGGCGACGAATCTTGGATTCAAGGAAACATGATACGGGCAAAATAGTGGATTTCATTCCGCAATCCTGATTCGAAGATGACCTATTAGGCGAAAAGGTAATGACCACCGTTTTCTGAAATTTAAAATGTTAATTTAATAGGTAAACTCGACGCTGGATCGCAAAATTTTTTGCCTCATGATAATCCACCGTTTTGAAATTGGTAGGCTACGAGCCTGTAGTTCGTTGTGTCTAAAGTTTGTTCGGTGAATTGTGCAATGTTGTCAACGTACTTAAGGAATGCTATCATAGTTGGGTTAAGTGTATTGAGAGACTAAGTTGAGAAATTAATATCCATTTTTCCTTCCTCCTCGTGTATATGGTACAATATGATTCCCTTATTTGCGCACGTTTTACTATCAGTGAGATCCCTGCTCGGAGTAACCTACTACAGGCCGCTGACCTTGATAAGATATATCGCAGGTTTTGAGGTTTGATGTATTAGAATAATTTAGTTTAATTCCAAAAATGAAGACCAGTGTGATTCAGAGTTGAATATGGATTGAACACCAAAAAGTAAAAAACTTTGCCTAGTACATTGCCGTAGTTATGAAAGTCGAACGTTGAGAGGCTCGATTTGATAAATACAGACAGATTGTGGGAGAAACCATCGAATAACATTAGAGGCATTAATATGGAAAACCTACGATAATGGATTTTTATGAGTGAGTTAGTTAACAATATGGTGTATAGTACATAATTCACGAGTTTTTATAAACCAAACAGCTTTGCGGGCGATGAGTGTCCCATTGCTCTTTTGTCTTGAAGCTTCGAACAGGTATTGAAATGTTGGACAGCAAATGAGTTATTCTACATGAAGATTATGTCGGAATAAGCCATTTTTAATGAAAAAGTTTTTTTTTAACCTAGAACCGGGTGATTTAAGCTTGCAGAAGGAAATGAATAAGTGAATTTAATGATCATCTTCAACTGACTTCAAGAACCAGAGGTATTTGTTTTTTCTTGATGCCTTCAATATAGTTTTTTATATAATTGATAATACACACAAGAGTTTAGCTGCTACCTTTTTACTTTCTTTCTTCAACACTTTTTAATTGCACTTGAGTGCCATCCAAATAAATAAAAACGTGAACATATTTCTGAATAATTAAATTTTATTGTATTTTTTAAACGATTGTACGTATGCAAATATTTAAAACCAGAAAGTAAGGAAGCGCTTGAAGGGTTTTTAACACTTTAGCATATATATTTTGTTGTTTTAAATTACTTAAATTCGTGAGAATTTCCATAAAAATTTCAATAAATTGTATTTAATAGATTTACTTTCAGTATATTTCGCATTTTAACATAATTAAATGGACAACAAGTAAGGAAGTTCACAACTCCTGTACAAAAATAATATAAACTAAATTTAAATAAAAGCGCTCTTTGTTCTTAAATACACATATATGTATGTATGTATATATATATGTATATAGTATATAAACACCAGTAACAAATCTCTTAAGTTTATATATATATAAAACAGCATATGTGGCAATGAACAAAACTATTAGTTATGTACTGTATGTATGAAAAATATCGACATTGTTTATTGGCATTTAACAATATAACTTCTGCAATATCGAAAAATAATACGCAAGTATTTTAAACATAATGCGTTCAATAATAATGTCTGCAAAACTGTTTTGTGTTTGCAAAAGTGGGTTCCACTTTCAATTCATTCTACTTGCATACATACAATACTACCACATCGTGTTTTTTTTAGTTTTAATTTTTTTCAGTTTATCTTTTGCTTTTGTTTCACATCGCTCTTAAGTACATTAGGTATTATTGGGTGTACGTCACAATTGTACGCACTGAGGTATAATTTTCGAACATTATTACATACATACGCAATTTGCCCACCCATAAGTTAATTTAATGGTTTAAAATTTTGGTTTTCATTTTTTTTTAATTACTTTTATAGACATATCGTCAATTGTTTGTTTATGACGATAGAGTTATTGCTGTGTTCTATGACAAAATTATTTGCAGATTGCAGTGTGCAAGTTGTTGTTAGTTATGCGTATATTTTGGTGTAAGTTTAAAAATAATAAAATACAAAAATTATAATATTAAAAAACGCAAGCGAATCAAATTCTCCGCAATAAATGGGAATAATTACAATAAAATATTTATTATAATGTTGACATCTAATTTTCTGCTCTATAATTTCATTTGAGAAAATATTTCAATAGCACGCACTCACAAAATTAATTTCATATACATACATATTAAACTTATTTAAACACGGCATTAAATAATGGACTAGCCTTAAAGCTATATATAATTACAAACCATTACAAAATTAAACACAATCGTTAAAATGGATGAAATAAAAAAAACCGAAATATCAAAAAAAAAAATTTGTTTAGTTTACATAAAATATGTTGCCATTAATACTTAAACTTTCACATGCAAGTCAACTTCGCGTTTATAAAACGACATAGTTGCAATTAAAATGCACAACGTTGCCATTAACATCTGGAAATGCATTTGTCATAGTTAATATTTTGTAATCTTTCTTTTCTACTTCTTTTCGCTTATTGTTTTATAAAATAGATAAATTTTACGTTTTAAAAAATATTCACATGTACAAGCCCCATTTATTTTTAGTTGAAAAAATATGTATGTACGCAATATTTTGTTTGTGTATCTCTCGTAGTTGTTACTCATTATTATCATTAATTAATTGCTTCATCTTTTTCATTAGATGATTATTTTTGTGTTTATGTTTTGTTTTTGTTTAGATTTTACGCTTAAGTCAATTGAAAAACTACAGTGTGTCAATGATGTGTTCAGCAGAAACCTAAACAAACCTGGACACCTTGTAAAGTTCAAAACTTACATTGCAGAGAGTAAAAGTAATTAAGTATAACAAGTAAATAACTATATACGTAAGTGTGTGTAGTAGTAGTAATCTTGCATTAGAGCCTTTTAATGCGCATGCGCAGGTGTTGTTTATAATTAAGTACATATTTAGTATGTACACATATTTGTTTTATGTTTTATGTTGTGTTTTTTTGATGTGATTGCAAACGGCATATATGTACATACAGATGTGTGTGTATGTTGAGCATAAGCATTGGCGCTGGTGAACGTAATGTTTGGTGGTGGTAATGCAAGGTTTGACTGCGTTTCAATATTTATAAAAGTAAGATGCATATTAATTGCTATTTCTCTGCTCTTATGCATATGTAAACTTTTGAGTTATAAGCGTTGGCTGTTATGCTTGTTGTTATTTGTTATTAGCGCTATCACTAGTCTTAGGCAAAAGTGGTGTAGTAGCGACATTCTCGCGATCGCCGTTATGTTCTGATTGATCGTTAACTGGATCCGATGTCACTTGGCTGCTTAATGAGCCAACATCTAAAACTTCACCACTACTACTGCTGTGCATATTGTGCGGCGGCGGTGCATTACTATGACTTTGTAATGATATGTCCTGTAAGTAAAATATATTTTCATTAATTCATGTTTATTTAATTGCCAGTGAAATATTTCAAATACTCACATTTAATGACGGTGAGGCTGTATTGCTGCCAGTTATAGCTATTTTATGATTGACATGTGCCCTAATTTCATCCTCGTTCACAGAGTGTAATAACTGTAAAAAAAAGTGGTATGTTTATATTAAGTGGTCAATGTAAAGAAATTTTGTGTAATTCGTAATCACAATGAGTAAGTTAAAAATAAAGAAAATACTTAACATTGTTCGGCGGTCGCAGAGTTGCCTTGGACAATAATCTGCTTAAAATTTCGTTAAATAAAAACGTCTTCATACTAGGACTGGACTGACAACTATTAGCAGACAGAGACAGACATGCTTAAATTGACTCAGCTTGTCACACGCTGTTCATTAGTATAGGTATTTTGTAAGGTCTCGTTTCCTTCTGGGTGTTACAAACTTCATGGTAAACTTAATATACTTAAACTTCAGGGTATAAAAAAAAAGAAATTCAGTACTTTTAGGCAGACCCTGACATGATTTTCTCCAGATCGAGAGGTGTATTTCACTACAACAGCTGTTGTTGTTATTGTAGCGGTAAAACTAGATCTGTTTAGTTATAAGAAAACATAGGTTTGTTTATGTTATTCAACGGTATGTCCATGAATGCGAGAGTTAAAGATCAAAATGAACAAGTTCGAAGGACCACATTCGCTATTTGGCATCAAATTCGATAAAATAGCGAATTGGCTTAACCAATTATACAATAGTTACTTTCGTTTTATAAAGTATTAGTGGATACGACCACGCGTTACTGCGGTATACATTTTATAATTTTTATTTACGAATAAAGCGGAAAACGTTTTTGTCGACATAAGAACCCAATGTATTGTATCTGAGATTTAATTTTGAATATGTTCACACAAAGAAATTTGGGTAATGGCTGGTTACAAGTCTTAATAAGTTAATAGAGTTATCCGCTTAATAGGTTGTACTTAAGAAACATCAAAAAATTGTGGAACCGGTCAATGTGGTTCGAACTGAAAATAGTGTGTTAACAAGTTTACTGAAATCGGTTTAGAAGCTTAGGAGTCTACCGCGGACAAAACACGAGACATGTAATTTTTTATATAAAAAAGTAAAATTTTTTATTTGATTTACTTTCAACACCTAATCGTTACAGTAACTCGTGTCTAAGCAATTGAAATTGCTCTGATTTATGTCAGGTCAGCGATCTACAAAAATATTTGAAAAATAACCGTATTTGATAAAGAAAAAATTTGCTTGGTATTATCATGTATAAATTGCTGAAGACAATATCTTCATACTTTTCTGTTTCCACAACGGTCCTATTAATTGTTGATGTGCTAGTAGCAGTAATTGGTTTAGTGTATAGTTTTGGAGAATTGTTATACTTTTTCGAACGTAAATAATTTTAAACAATTATAGTAAAAACGGAGCAAATAAGAACTATTTTGTAACAGCAAATAATAAATTTTATTGGAATCTAAGCATTCTCATGGAAATTGTGAATTAATTTATCGATAATTAATTTGTGTATGCCAGATCTTAATAATGTACTATATTTAAAATATAAGCATCTACGCATATATGCAAATAAGAAATATAAACCTTAAATGCTTCGAAACTTACCCTTTCGACTTCATCATCAGTAATTTCACTATTCAGCTCAATACCACTCTTGCGGGTCTTTTCTAAAAGTGTAGCTTTCTTGGCAGTTAAGTAAAGGCTACGTTTTATTGCGATGTATACGACATCATTGACGGCACGCACCGAATAGTCAGGTATAAACGTTTGGCGAATCTTCGAATCCATATTCAATGACTGAATAGAACCACGCATTTGTTGACTGGGTGAATCTTTAAAACATGGAAAAAATTTACATGAATATCTAATGTAATTGATAACTCGCTTTACAGCTACTAACCAACAACGACATTAGGTTGAAGGGCTGCAGTACCGAAGTATGTAAATGCGCCACTTTCGAAAAGTAAATTCTCTTTGCCGACGGTCACTTCAACACGACCTTCTAAAATAAGTACGAAGAAGTCCACGGCTTTACCTTGTTGGTAAATGAACAAACGAGGATCATCCTTATTTTTACCCTTACACTTAATAGCATGAATAATGTCTTGATTAAGTAGGCGGCGTAAGATGTTTTCGGAAACAAGTTCCTTTTTAAAGGCATCGACAGCTGCAAAACAAAAAAAAAAAGGAATAACACATTACATAATGGCTATTGAAGGTTTTGTTGCTTATTTTAAGATTATCTTAGTATACATACATGTACTTAAGTACTGGAAAGTGGCCAGGGTGAGTTGTGGTGAAATTCGTATCTTCTGATTTTCGCGACGTTCGGCGAATGCGGAAAAGTCCTGCTTTTTACTACGATTGCGACGTACCTTTGTACGATTATCAATATATACGTCAGTTTCATCAACAATTTCAGCTTGAATCAATTCTTCAATAACATCTTCAAGTGTCACAAGACCAATCGTTTCATAGAATGGATCACCATCCCCCTCGTTGTTAACACGATGTACAAATGCAATGTGACCGATAGTACCATCTTTGAATTGATTAAACATAAGATCGAGCGTCATATCCTCAAAAACAAAGTGAACTGGATTCTGATAGAATTCGCACAACGTACGTAACGGTGTATTATCATCGGTATCGACAAATGCCAAATCTTTAATATACAACAGAGTAACGATGTTTTTCTTATCGCCATCGTATACGGGAATACGTGAGTATCCTGACTTCATTATTTCCGATACGGTTGAAAAGTCTAGCAGAGCATCAAGCGATAGCATGAAAGCATCATCGATATGAGTCATCACATCAGCAACAGTCTTTTTACGCAACTCCAAAGCACCCGAAATAATGTTGACTTCATTTTTATCCAAATCATTTGTACCTGTTGTAACCTATTGAATGAAAGGTAAATATAATTTTATTGCATTCTTTATCTCAGTACCATATTCCCAGTTACCAACCTTCACTAATTCCTTTAGGCGTTCGCGATTGTAAACATTGCCGATTTCTTCACCCAATGCCCAATCCAACATTTTCGAAATCGGATATGACATGGGGAATGTGAGCACCATAACAACTTTTGTAATGCCAATCGTCTTAGCGCCAATGGCCAAACCGTGTCGCGAACAAACAGCCTATAATAACATAAGTAATAGTAATTTAATTAGATCAATGAAGCGAAATTTAAATTAAGTAAATTAAATGGATTTACCTGAGGCGTAATTTCACCAAATATAACGATGGCAAGCGTGGAAACAATAACAGCAAAAAGACCTGAGGTTAAACCGTCCAGAAGAATTGTAAATGTAGAGTTCACCAACACATTGCCTAAGAGAATACTACACAGTAGGAAATTACCCTGTTCTCGGACGGGCTGAATAATTCTAGCGTATTGACGTTCGCGAACTGAGCCAGTATTACACAAAATCTATTGAAAATATAAATTAGAATTATATACACATATATTAAATATGTCATATTGAAATACATGTGTATTTTATAAAGTAATTACAATTATATACACATCATTTTTTTATCAGCATTGTTTGTTATTGCACACATGCATTCATACCTTTAATTCTGTACGATCGAGTGACATCAGACCCAAATTGAGACCTGAAAACAACGATGAGAAACCTAAACAGACTAAAATGATGACAATTGACAGCCAGATGGGGAGTAAATTTTCATATGTTTTTATTTGCAGATAAACATCTCCACCTTGATGTACCATCGGTTTTGTATCCGTGGCGCTGCCCTATAAAATTGTGGAAACAAATGAAATATATAATTTTATATACAAATTAAATACATATTGCTTTGGAAAATATAATAGAGACCAAACGTTTAAAATTAGTAATTTTTTATGTGAATCCAATCAAAAGTCATAATCAAACGATAGACAATGTAATATATTTCGAATAAGTATTATCGTTCATGGATTTCATTAATTAATGTTGGTGAAGTTATTTAAAGTTTATCTGCATTTAGAAAGTAAAATCGAATACATTTTGTATTTCAGCTTAGAAATAAAAAAAAGTACAAGCGTTATTTAATTTCTGTTTATTTAATTATTGCACTTGTTTTTTTGTAAAATCGAATAATTTGTTGATGCTTCTTTTATTTTGAACACATTCTGATCCTGATGGTCTAATCAGTTTGTTGACGATGGGCTTTATTCCTTCACATGATACGCTCGACAAAAGCTTACATGCGATGTTGAGGAAGAGGGGTCTCCCTTATTGTGGACTGGACAGAGCATACTTAAAGCCCAACCGTCGGATATTAATTAGTAGTGTGTTTACGTAGCAGATCCCAAACCCAGTGCACAAACAGCTCGCCTTCAAACACATGTTTTTAGTTTACCCAGGGGATACTTGGTCTAAGGCAGGAAGTCGTGTGCTGCTTGAGCCATATGCAAAAGAATCGTTTCTGGTCCGTTCCAAGTTCCATCCTCCCTGAGAGAACTTTCCTTTATTATACATATTACTATTTTACATAATTCGTGCTTATTTTCCAGTTTTGGTTCACCGATTAATTTCTTCAGCACACCCCACAGATCAGGGATAATGGGATGCCCAACTTATTCCAGTGTAAGAGCTCCTCAAAATAAGTGTTTTTTATAACATTTTCCATTATGGCCAGATCGCACCAAATAAGATTTTTTGGACATTTAGCCTGTTAGTTCTAAATTAATAAATGTTTTAAAT